AAACTTTTATATGTAACATGTGTTCGATTTTTGTGTAATATTTTTTTGGTTGATCTATTTATATTAGAAATGATCTATGTTTACTCTACCCTTAATACAAGACCAAGCTATTTAATAGGGTATTAGACTAAAGGCTAGCTGTCTCTTAAAGATGCCCAACTTTGGTTATCGCATTGATGTTGGCCACTATACTTCACATACGGTGTGCCATATTTAAAGATATAATATAGCCGGGGCTTAGCTCTTACCTCAGGACCTCTTTTCTCTTCTAATTCTTTCTTCTTCTCAAGGGGCACAAGACAAAAGGGGGAAAAGTTTAAACCAAAAAAACAAATATGAAAATGACCAAAAAAGAAAAACAAACAAAAAGAAAAAATAAACACAGATTTTGAAAAAGAAAAAATATGAAAAAAAAACTAAGACTCTAAAGGCACTATTATAACCCATGCAAGGTTGGTAAAAATTATATAACAAATATAATATTTGTATATCTCTTTTGGAACAGTAACGCTCTATCCTAGTATTAAAATTTACTTTCTAACCTTTCCACCAAATTCGGATAGCTCCGTTGTCCGAAGACCTATATCAAGGCTCCCTTTCGCCATAATTAGAGTTTCCAGGCCGAGTCCTATGCAGTAGCGCCATATCCGTCCGTAAACAAACACGTGGCTGCAATCTACTAGTCTGTCCAAATTTGGGAAGTAAAGAATGCTAATCTTTTGGAGGGGGTAAGCCAAATCCCCACTTTTTGTCAAAAAATTTTGAAAGAAGGCAGAGAAGCAAAAAAAAGATAGTAAACACCACTTGGTCAGAAAAAAGAAGTGTGGCTTAAAAGAAGCCCATTCTTTACTATTCTCCAGTTGTTTTACAACTAATAGCTTTGTTAACGGAAGGCTTGGACTTCTATTACCTCCACCTATCCACCAAAATTTCGTATACAAGAGCACTATCTTTTGCTAGATATCTTGTATACAGATGCTTTTGGCTTGCATGTCAAATATATAAAAGAGTCCCCGAGATAGCAAAAAGGTTAACCTTTATAAAAACCGCTCTGTTGAAGTCATCTCACTACAGGTTACTACTCTCCAGTATCGAAAATAGGCTTTTCTTTTCATCAGAAAATTTGGTCCAAGTGATTATCAGAAAGAGTTGATAATATTATTATAATAATTAATAAAGGAGCTGTCAAATATTAGGTGATTTTTTAGGGAGGGCGGTCAAAAATTTTGGAAATTATATATAAAGACCTGACAATTTTTATATATAAAGGTAGGGGGGTAGGTAGGGTATCTGGCATAGTGGCATGCTACCATGGCATGCCAGTGGCATGTCTTAAGTTAATTTGGCATGCCACTTAATAAATTTATTTAAATATATATATATATAATTTTTTTTTTATACATATAATTTAATACATATCAATATTTTATACTAATTTGTACTAACATATCTTTGCGCGATATTATTATAGCAATCTATGAATTTTAATCACATGCCACATATGGATGCGAAATACATAAAATATATATCATATATAGCTTATTCTGTGTAAAATGTATAGCTTATTTTGTGTAACTTGTTATTTTATTGATTTTTGAATTTGGGACATATATGTGCTCAGCCTTCAAATAATGCCCACGAATTAATAATTGCCACAAAAGTAGCAAAATTCCAAGAAAAAAGATCATGTGAAATATAGTTCGCCTTTTTTATACGTACATAAAAGCATTAACTTGCTTTAACAAGTTAAATAACCTAATTTGATCTTATTAAGCAATTTAATCATTAATCAGAATCTGGAAATTGGCTTTCTAGAGTATTTCGAGGTTTTCAAACTAGAATGTGCACAACATTTAGAATGCAAGCATGCCAGATCAAATAATATGACCTAGTTAACCAAACGAAGTATTATCATTAAATGAAATGCGTAAGAATGTGAATTTGAAATAAAACACGAAAAATATAAATATATTTTCTTGAAAGTTGAATAATAATATAATAGTATCGTATAACAAAAAAAAATCTCAAACTACTAGTGCAAGAAATAAAGTACTAATTATAGAAAACAAATTCTTTATTAAATAATGGCATAAAATAAACTTTTACATATTCAAGAAAATTTATTAGCAATACGAAAAAATAATTATATGAAATGATACTTATCTTCTAATATAGAATTTAATCTTTATAGTCGACCAATCTGTGTTTCAATTAAATTCGTATATTTGATCTATCATTGATATCTTGTAATCAATTAATCGAATCTTGATGATTTTGATGGCATTCAAATTATTTTAAATGAGATGATTCGATTAGTATCAAAATTATCAAAATATCAATGATAAGTCAAATATATGAATTTGATTGAAACATGAATTCGATAAACCAAACCCATAATAAAAATAGATTAGAAATCAATAAAAGTTTTATATATAATGTAAAAAAAGAAAATTTATCATGTAAAAAAAATCAACTTACATTTTCTATTGATAGTTAACAAACAAAACTAATTTTATGCAATCTCAACCACCACCTGGTTTTGCTCTTCCTAACATGTCAACCCACGATCATCATTGGACTGGGTTTTGGCATTCTTTAGAAAAGGGTAGAGGCAATAGATACACGGCTAAGTGTCTCTATTGTAAATGTGAGCTATCTGGAAGGCCTGAAAAGCTTCATAGTCATGCTATTGCATGTGGTAAATGGCCTGTTGCTGCGAAGAATAATTATATTCAAGAGGCTGCAAGTTCTACTCCTAAATCTCGTAACAATAAAAAAATTTTAATTAGTTCAAACCAAGAACAATCAGAGTATGTTATTAATACAAATAATTTATTAGTATATAAAATACTTAGCTAACAAAGTTTTTGTAGTTTGAATAATAGCTCCAATAGTCTCTCTTCACCTGCATTAAAACGGCAAGAAAATTTAGCGAATTGGATTATCAAGCCAATTTCGCAAGAAAAACAATTCAAAATTGATAAAAAGTTACTCAATGCTATTATTTATGGAAACCTTCCTTTTAAAATAGCTAAAAACTCTTATTTTTTCAAATTCCTTAACGAATTAGCCCCAAATTATTGCCCACCATCTCCTGAAATATTAAGCAATAAAATTCTTAATAATTCATTTTCAATTTACTTAAAAAATAAGTTCAAAGTAATGTTCTCTCTTACCGACATTACTATAGCTTTAGACGGATGGCAAGACGTATCCCGAAATTCCATTTACGGTTTTATGACACTAAAAGAAAAACAAGAACATATTCTAGATATTATTGATCTTTCAGCAAATCATCATACCGCAGTTTTTCTTCAAGAAAAAATCAAAAAAGTTCTTGAATTAAATTCGATCTCTATTAATTCTATTATTGCCTGTGTAATAGATAATCCTTCGGTTATGGTTAAAATGAGAAATGATCTTAGAAATAAATATTCAAATATAATTCCAATTCGCTGTTGTTGTTTCCACTCTTTTAACCTAATTGCCAAAGATATTTCTTCTTACCAATCTTTACTTACGGTTATTAAAAACAACCAAAAACTTATCAACTTTTTTATGTCTTCCCATATCTGGCTTAGAACGTTACAAGATTGGCAAAGACAAGAAGGTGTAGCTCATTCCCTTACAATGTTTTGTAAAACCAGATGGTACTCTCTCGCGAAAGTTTGTTTGGGTGTAAAAGCCTTCAAAAGAGGATTTTCTCGATGTATTGATTTTAGTGGAACTAGCAATTATCCTACAATTAAAACAGAAATTTGAGATATTATTAGAAATCGTTACCATTTTGCTAACAATGACACATTAGTTACGGTGCTTATTCCTGTCGTAGATGCTATTGGTCATCTTGAATTAAAAAAAACTACATTAGCAGATATTTTTAAAGAACTTTTAAACATTTATCTTACCATTTTAAGAGCTAATATTCCAATTAACGGTTTTAAAGATCATACATTAGCAGCTATTAACAAACAAGCACATGAGTTCTCTGATAATATTTATTTTATTGCTCTTTTCCTGTCTCTATATTACAAGAGAGTCGCAATATCAAAAAAGATGCCTGGTGATTTAATAATTAGAGTTTTATTAGAATTAGCAAAAGCTTGGTGTTTTGATAAAAGAGAAACAACTCTTTTACTTAAAGAGCTTATCAATTATAAAAATGGAGATGCTCCTTTTGACACTTATCAAAATATTGGCGATCTTAATCCTAGAACCTTCTGGAAACAATTTTTTGGAGGTTCTCCGCTTTTACGATGATTTGCTATAAAGGTTTTTTCAATTGTTCCACATGCAGCAGCCATTGAACATCTATTTTCTAGCTTGGGACTAGTGAAAACAAAGTCTCGAAACAGAATGTCTACTGATTTAATGAAAATGCTTGGGATGCTTCGTCATAATCTTTAACAAAACCTACCCGAAACACCAAAAAAAAAGACTAAAGATTTAGCCTCACCTACAAATCTTGTGAATATAGCAAATACTGAAGATTCTGGTATTGATCTTTTCAAGGAAGAGGAATTTGAAGAGCCTTTAGAATTTGAAGTTGAAGCGGTAAATATTGATATAAATGATGAGTTAGTAATGGATGAATTCTTTGATATTGGTATTTTTGAACAACTAGAGCAAGAAGTTGTTGATGAAAGTTCAATGATTCATTTTCAAAATTCTATTAATACTGAAGATTGGTTGATTGATGATATTTTTTTTCAATCTGAAATTTAATGAAATTGTAATTAGTATATGTTAAATAAAATAAAATATTCAAATAAAAAGTTTTTATTATGTATCTCAATTATATACCTGTTACTCTTTGAACTTTAAAAATTTTGCATATCGTAGAATCTTCGTACAAATCATTATTTCTTAATACACGTTATTTTAGAACAATATAAAAAAAAGAGCAGATATAAAATCTGTTTATTAAAAAATGAAACTTGAGTTAATACATTGTAAATCAGGTTCCCAAAATCCATTTTTCAGAAAAACAATTCTGATAAAGTTAACGACATTATGCTAGTTAGGTTTGTCATGATTATGTTCTTTAAAAAAAAATAGCTTTTATAAAACAGTTACATTCGTTATTTTAAAAGAGAAACATGAGTTAAAAGGATTTACTATGTATTATATTGAATTTTATAACTATATTATGTGTCACATTCGAGTCATTCGCTATTATTAATATTTAGCATAATAGTGTGTGTAATATTGTGTGGCAGAGTGGTATAATTTTGGGTCAGAACTTACATAACTTTAGTGCTGGGTGTGGCATGCCATTTATCTAAATCTGTGCCAGACACCTAGTGGCATGCCCAAAAAAAATGGCATGCCACATGGCATGCCATTTATCTAAATCCGTATCAGACACCCTAGGGGTAGACTACTGATAAAAAAAAATCAGGTAATAAATGACATGGCCCTAAGTATTAAAATTAATTAATTATTTTATATTAATTATATAGTATAGTCAACTCCCTCTAAGTGCATGTCCTCTAAGTGCAAGTTCTCTCTATCTGCAGAAAAATAGTCTGGTCCCAAGCAGGACTTATAAAATAAGTGTATATTCTATATTCTCTAAGTGCAGGTTATTTTTTAAATTATATATATATATAAATTCTCTCTAAATGTATTTTAATATATTAGCCAATCAAATTTGAGAATATTTATTTAGATAACAAAACAATTAAAATTTATATATTTTATTTTTTTAATTATTAATATATAAATTCTTTAAAAATTAATAACTTTTGATCCACTAAACCAATTTGGATGATTTAACTACCAAAATGATCCTCTCATGGAGGTGATTCCAATGAAGCTAAAATCAGCCAGATTTGATTACATAATCCCGAGATAGTTAATAATTTGTATTATATTTACTATAGTAAATATAAAATATTAATTATCTCAGGATTGTGTAATCAGATCTGGCTGATTTTAGCTTCATTGAAATCACCTACATGAGAGGATCATTTTGTTAGTTAACTCATCCAAATTGGTTCAATGGATCAAAAGTTACTAATTTTTAAATATTTTATAAATAAAATTTTTAACAATTTTAATTTTTCTCTAATTGCAGGCTTTCTCTAAATGCAGATCAAAGTACTGGTCCTGGCAACATACACTTAGAGAGAGTCAACTGTATTTAATTAGTATTAAAATTAATTATTTATTTAATATTTTTTTAAAAAATATTTAATTAGTATTAAAATTAATTACTTATTTAATACTAATTATTATAATAGATAATAAGTATTAAAATTAATTACTTATTTTTTATTATTTTTTTTTTTTAATTCTTTGACAGTCTTGCCAGTGCTCTTTTATTTGAGACTATATTTTAGGTGAGAGTTGAACTCTCTCGAACAATACTAATCATTTATAACTATAATAGGGAGTCCCGCGATTGCAAGCCTGACATCACCCGGCTGCGATAAAATGTGTCCACATGTGACTTGTCGCACCAACCTGTATACAAGTTAGATAAACTTTGTCAGCTCATCAAAGCTTTTCTCTTCATATTCTCTTTTTTTACCGAGAGCAAAAGAAAGTGATAATCTTATATCTAATACAAAACTACTGATAGTACCAAGAAAGCAAAACGAAAAACTAACTAAAAACAAACAAATAAAACGAAGAAGAATTTTTAAAAGAAAAAAAAAAGAGAGTACAATGAAATGTAAAAAAAGAAAAACAAAGAGAAAAGCCCAAGGGCCAACAAAGAGAGGAACTACCTCTATCAAGAAGCAGTACAAATAAAATGAAAGAAAAAAAAAAGTACACTATTATAACTTGTGCCAGGTTTAAGAAAAAATTTTATAACAACTGCAACGTTTGTATATCTCGACTATAAAATCTAACAAATTTTTATCTGACTACTGGCCACCTCTGGATGCCTCTTCTGCCAGAGACTCGATCCCAGTCACATGGAGGACCCATATCCATAGAGTACATTGTGTATCGTATCTATTGATAAACAAGGCACATGGTTGTATTTCTAAGCATATCTGAATTTGGGAGGTAAACAATGCCGATCTTTTGGAGGGGGTAAGCCAAATCGCCCACTTTTTGTTAAAAATTTTGGAGAAGACCGGCCAAGCGAAAAACACCTAGGGAGAGACCACTTGTACCCAAGGAAAGTAGTTATATCTATGTAAAGACTCAACAACTCCTAAACCTTCTTCTAGAAAAGGAGTAGAGCACCTATACTTTCTTTTTGGTGAGTGATAAACTCTGGGCTTGTTAGCAAGTAGCATATAAGAACTACTTCTAAATGACAAGTGCCGTGCGTATGATGAGTGATAAACTCTAAAGAAGTTAGCAGATAGCATATGAGAACTACTTCTAAATAACAACTGCTGACTTATAGTGACTAGTATACCCTCTGTGTTTTACTAAGTGCTATTGTGTTTTTACAAAAAATGTATTTGGATTTTTTGGTACAGATGATTGTTGGAAAGAGTTATATGAGTATCATTAATTACTTATTTAATACTTATTTTTAAAGTATTTAATTAGTATTAAAATTAATTACTTATTTAATACTTATGTTTAAAATATTTAATTAATATTAAATTAATTACTTATTTAATTGATAATCTACCAGTCATCTGAATAAAATAATCTACAATTACTATATTACAATAATGCAAATTAATTAATATAAATTCTGATTTGTAAATATATATATATATTTTTTTGGTAACGCGTATTGAAAACAGGCCAGGCTTGTCAAGGCCCAATATTGAGCCACCTGACACCTTTTAATCAGACAATAGGCCGGCTTTCCCAGCAGGACGCCCAACCCAGTTACCTTACTGATGTTGGCCACAATA